AGCAATATAGTTAATCGGAATATGTAAAAATAGTCAAGCATTATTTCTGTATGGGGAGATGACTCCAAGCCACTACTCAAAAAGTTACGTACTATTTGTAATGTTTATAAAAATAAAAAATCTGATGTGTGCACCACATGACTTCCTTGTACGGAATATTAAATTATACGCATTTTTCCTTGCATTTCATTTAAATTTATTGGATTGAATTAAATCTACTTCGCCGACAGCACATAAACCACAGTAGAATAAATGCATTCTTTAAAATTCACTCTAGCATTTGTTTATCACAGCGATACTCTGGTGCTAGATTCACTTAACAGTATTAATAATTATATAACAGTTAACTTATATAATAATTATATAAAGGAAACTAAGTTAACTGTTATATAATCCAGTAAGTATATAACAGTTAACTTTTATATTACGTTCATATTATAACTCATAATGCATAAAATTTATATCATTTAAAGAATAGAATTATCTAATCGTTGCCACATGTTCTATTCAAATACTATAATAAAGCTAGAAAGATGTATAAAAGAAATTAAGCAAACAAAACAAAAAAGGAACAGTATTTTACAGACGATTGAGTACTTCTCATTCAATTAATTCAGTTTTCCCTTCGCGAGAAGGCAAAAATACATAAAAACTCAAAATATCTATATTAAAAATTACGAAGTAAACCTGAAACACTTATTTCCTCGAAAAAATCCCAGAAAGAATTAAGCATGATTTAATTGGCAATATAAATGAATGCGTTATCTTGTTGTTGCGAAGCTAAGTTTCGCTAGATTGGCAACAATCCACTAGTCTCCTGTTTCAATGTAAACATCAATGGCCGCCGCCATACAAAAAAAAAAAAAAAGGCTTAGAGGCACTTACACAACTTTAAAATTGTTGATAATTCTAAAAATATTGCATACAGATTTACTAAAGGCATAAAAACCTTAACCGGAAGATAAAAACAACATAATACAATCATTTTTAAAGCAAAAAATGTACAATTTACAAACATATAAGAGTAAAGAAACTGAGATCACTGAGCCGGGTAACAGAGTGGACATAGTATATGTAACTATATTTATATACGTTTGGTGCTGCCGATTGCAACCAAAATACGAGGTGCACATCTACATGTTATAGCAGTCCTATATACAAAATTTCAACGTTCTGAGGCTACTCGTTTTTGAGTTATGCGAGATACGTACGTACGTACGTACGTTCGGTACAGACGCCACACGAAAAATTCTCTTCAGAGTTAATTTGAAAGCAGTTTTATAATTTTTTTGAAGAAAAGAGTATTTTATTCTGTCCTTACGTACAGATATGACGCAAAAACATTGTTAAATTGCATTCGATAGCGGTCAAAATGGATATTTTCGTTGAAATATGCTGCCTGAAACTTTGCGCTATTACAATACTTCCTTTTTGCTTCGTACAAGGAAGTAAAAAGCAAGATTTACCACTTAAAACAGTTAAGAGATATAATGTTTAATAGCTTTAGGTGAGGTATCTGGCTCAACACAAACCAATTTTGAGAACCCTCTATGAAAATTATTTAGCAGGATATAAATGGAAACAGATTGTTACCATAGATGAAGCACGGATGGTTTACCTAAAAGACTGCAGCAACAACAGTAAAAAAAGCCTGTTTATTAAAAATAAAGAGAAAAATGAAAGTTTAGGCCATTTTTTGTGTGACGTGAATGCAAAGAATTTTTCAGTAAGGGGCTTATGATTGTCACAGGGCTCTCATACTTTTGGAAATTAAAGTACTCAAAGTTGAAAAATATTAAAATTAACTCAACTTATCAACAAACGAAAGTTTTATGTTTAATATTTACAGATGAAATTTATTTCTTCTTTAAATATCCATTTGAAAGTCACTGGGATATGTATCCCAATGATTTCATCAAATTAAAGCAATAAGTCATAGTTCAAAATGTACCAGTGCATTCCTTGAAAAAAGGAAAATTGATATAGGTATTCCATATATACCTTTTCAACATATTCCTGTAGAGTCCCCTGAAGTTTTATCTATGTGCTGTTATGCCTTTGGTCTCTTGAAATGAGAACTTTCTAAGCGCAAACCAAACACGATTGATGGAACCTGGAAAGTAAGACAAGTGTGGTAGTCCGCTGGAAATCTTACGAAAAGCCTTTTTATCATGAAAAATACAATGCAGATTTATAATCCTTAAACAAAGGCTATTAAATACAAAATTAAAAAACGCTCTTTACATTGTAAGCATTTAGAAAATGGCCTCGAAATCGTTCTAAAAATGCGCAAATACCTTTTGTCTTTAAGATTTCATAGCAGACAAAAACTCCTTTACCGTTAATCATCGTAGCCGAATGTCATATAATTATTGCATAGAATTGACATAAAAAATGTCTATAATGAGCTTGCCTCATTTTAGAGGCTATTTTGTTATGTTAGGTACCGCAACCAATTATAATTCATGGATTTTAGGTGTTTCCATTCCAATAATTACGTAAACTGACATGAAGTGAGTCTTTGGAGTGCCCTAGTAAAAGTTCTTCAAATTATCTTTTAATGTATGTCTGCAAGCTGTCAGTTAACGGAGCGATTCAAAAATTTTGTTACACCTTGTACTCACAACTCGCCAGCGGGATGACTTCTTTCTTTAATCCTTGTATTCACAGCAGAAAGAACATATGTATTTCAAAAGTTTATAAAATATTCATTCACTATCCTTTTCTTTGCTTATTAGCTCAAAGAGGCGGTGCCGCAGAAGTGTTATTAGTCTCGAAATGTCATTTCGAGTCGAAAAACTAAAATAGTTGAATCCCATTGCAAATTGCTACTATGAAATATTATCACCCTTTATTATATTTAAAGAAATTAAATAATGTAGAATCTGCATGAATGTATGTGTTTCGCGCATTTTGAAAAAACAACGGCACCTAAAGCCATCAAATTTTGAATAATGTGGTCTTCCTCGCGAATGCGGGCATCTAAAAGCCCGAATTTTGAATTTCGAATTTGTTTTATTATCTGACATTGCGGAAAGCCATAATATTGACTGGGCAAGAAAACAAAGAATTTGGAAGCCAATATGTGTAATTGATTATAATAAATACATGAATGGTGTTGATCGCGCTGACCAATACTTATCGTATTACTCGATTGTGCGTCGTACAAAAAAATGGACGAAACGAGCTGTAATGCTTTTTATCAATTGTGCGTTATTTAATGCATTTAGAGTTTTTAAAGCATTAAATCCACATTCAAAAAAAGTATAAGATGTTTTTATATGATGTTGCAAAGGAATGGATTAGCGAAGCTCTTCCTTGCAATACAGATGATCCTGTACAAGGTGAGGGAGTGAGCGCCACCAAGGAATACCACTGACCTGGCCTTAGCCTCACAGTGCGTTATCTTCCTGGCAGAAACCATCTACTCTCTGCTCCATCCTGCTCCGGGAACGCAGCCGAATAGACGGCTAAGAGCCTCATAAAGTCTACATATAAGCTTGGATGTTGTTGTACGGGGAAAGAGTATCCTGTTAGGAACTACTTAAAATTAAGAAAAGAAGCAATCAAAAAAATGTTAAGAATCGCTGTTAGAATAGACAGAAACTTGTGTTAGATAAAGTAAAGATAGGAGGACTCTGCCTGAAAAATTAACTGCCGTGGATTTTCTGGACTTGCAAAATGTCTACATGCGGGTGCTTATCCTGACACAACTGTCATATATTTATGGGGCTTCTGTGAAATCGTTGGTCCTGCATGGAGGAAATTTGTAACCTATTAAATTATTGCACATAGTAAACTTTAAAAAAAAATAAATAAAAAATAAAAAATAAATAAATAAAGAGAGAGATTAAAAGATGATTAAAAAAAAATCCTAGCGCCCAAACATAATTTAACGCAATTTATTTTCCATGTGCCTGACTCTTATGTAAGAACATTTAAAAGAATGTGTACCTTTTATCACTAAGATAACAATTCTTCCTGCATCATTTAGTTCTTTGCGCATACTTAAACTGTAGTTGTTTACAAATTGAACCATTCACCACATTTTCTTTCGTAGTACTCGCAGACAGGATAATACATACATAAGTACAAAACTGAATATTAAAGTGAAAAACTAACATGATACTGAGTACAGAAATACAGAAAGCTTATCCCTAATGGCCTGCATACATAACACTTAAAAATGCATACATAATACATGAAACTAAAAACAAAACTGATAAGCATAATACATAAAACTGATCATTAAGTAATGCTATGTAGTCTAAATCCTAGCTAAGTACGAACTGACCTTCATAGTACATGCAGAGAAGGAATAAATACAGACTTGAATACTTTAAAGTGAACATAAACTGAAAAGTACAGCACCATACTCAGTAAAACTGATATCTGATGTCCAACATTTGAATACATAATGCTGATACACAGATATTTCTTCCCTAAAATTTACATAAAAAGTTGAATATTTATTAAAATTAAGAAGGCAAAAATGCCATACGAATAATAATATCATTCATAAACTCGAGGTGATAACATAAGTTGACCTTGCCCTTCTTGAACCTATTTATCACAAACTTGTAATTTAAATACACGATTAGTAAGTGTAGGAAAAACTCATTGCGGTTGAAGATTTTACTGGCACGATCTGGTGTTGCGAGTCCTAGACCTGTACATTAATTGCAAAAGTAAACATTTTAAAGAATATAGGCAGGTTGTTGCCATAGTCCTAATTATCTAAGTTAGTCTTGGGTTGAGAGGTTCGAGGTGTGTGCCCAGATTGATTTAGTGTGATTTATACATTTTATGATTCAGAGCGCTAACCACTTGATTATTTCTATTTGGGGACACTTATCGTCGTATTAGAGAATACTTTCTCTGACAATGGCTGATTACCGCTTGTAGCTTTTTATTTGCTGTTTTGGTTGTTCTCATATTGCCGCCCATTGTGGCCAGTAAGCTTGACTTGGCTTTCTTATATGGTACTGTGCCGTGTTTGTTCAGTGGAAGACGTAGTGGTCTGGATCCCCCACCTCTCCACATTGACATCTTTCTGTGTCACTCAGGCTGAATCTATGCAGATAGGTCAGGAATGGGCCATGACCTGTATAAAACTGTGTCTGACTACCACTATTGCAGTTTAACTCTAGCGTTATTTTTGGGAAGAACATATACGTTCTCCTTCCTGTATCTGCTGTGTCCCATCTGGCTTGCCATCTGTCTATCAGTTGTTTTAGAGTGATCTTTTTGAGATGAGATCTAGGTAATTTATCTGGCAGTTCTGTTCTTGAGACCTCCTTTGCCGCTTCTTTTGCCAGGGTGTCTGCTTCCTCATTGCCTTTATGCCCACGTGAGCCGCCGGAACCCACTGAGGCATGGCCTTTCTGATGGTAGAGACTGAGGAGGATTTTTATAAGTTCTTGGACATACTGGCTTCTGCTTTTGTAACCTTTGATTGCGTCAAGGCCTAGAGGCAGAATCACTATAAATAGTAATGTGGATAAGTCTGTTCCTCTCACATAATTAATTGCTGCTTTAAGTGCTGCCAGCTCAGCTTGGAATACTGAGTTCCTACTGCCAAGTCTTCTTTTCCATTTATACACAATTGTATTACCTTTTAGAACGCAGAAGGCACTGCCAGTACCTGTCTCGGTTTTTGAGCCATCTGTAAATATAGCTGTGAGATTATCTTTTGCTGTCACATAGAGGCCTAGAATACACTTTTTTAGATGTGTTTCAGCCGGATGTCCTTGCGTCACTGGCTTGTGTTTTTCAAAGCCTTCAGCAAAGTGTTGTTGTTCCCATAGAACTCCATCCTCACGCAATTAACGACTCCGTTTCCGCTTGCAGGTCTAGCGGAGGAATTCCTGCTAGAACCTGCAGAGCTGTCATTGAAGTAGTTCTGTAGCCCTTGCAGATGAGCAAGAGTTGCAGCCTTTGCATGGACAGGAGTAATCTACGCATGCTTACGTTGAGTGTATTTCCCCAAATCGCTACGCCGTAGAGAACAATTCTTTCTGTTATTGCTTGGTACCGACTCTTAAGCACCCATGGTGGTGCTCCCCTTACAGTCCTCTTGTGCGTAGCATTGTGTTTGTGAGTGCGATACATCTTTTCCTGAGTTCTTTTAAGTGGGGAATCCAAGAGAGATTATTGTTGAGGATAAATCCTAGGTATCTTATGTTTGGACAAGGTACAAGGTACATCCGCTACGTCCAGCAGAAGTGATCACCAAAAGATCTCAAAAGGCCTAAATTGGTTAAAATTACCACTGGTGGAACAAAATTGAAACCTCAAAGACAGTGTCGCGTATGTACCGCACATAAGAAAAAAAGTTTAACGTGTTATATGTGTGAATTTTGTAAAGCTTCGCTGCATCGGGGAGATTGTTTCTTCAAATATCACACTCAAAGAAAAATATTAGGAACTAGCTTTGACTACACCAAACTTTATAAACTAGTATATTGTCTTGTATATAAGGGTATATTGTGGGACCCCATAAAAATAAACCGCTAACGGCGATATAGTATATATATATATATTGTATATATATTTGTAACTATTTAAGGATTTAAATAAACTGTATATTTGCTTACATACTTTTTTTTTACATAAAGTGCAGAATCGCCCACTGCTTGACATAGAAAATGGACAAAAATCCAGTTCTTCTTACTCTTGTAAAAAGCGCCAAACAAACGCCAAACAAATAGGTGGACGATTCTGCACTTTAGCCTATGTATATATTATCGGGCTATTTTATTTTGCACCCGGTGAATAAGGAACAACGGCCTATAATTCTAATGGCTTTATATTTTTTAAATGTTTATTGTATTGTTTTTTGTATAATTTTGTTCATAAGAAATTCGACAGTAATATTGTATTTTTATAAAACAAGTGAGTCCTGCATAATCTCACGAATTCTGAAATATACTTATCAAATATAAAAATATAATTAATGTATATAAAATATAGTTCCAGATAAGACCCGTTACCAAATTTTTCAAAAATCTAACCATTACTTTTACGTCTATCAAGTTTATTTTCACACGCATATATTTCGCTTAGCTGGCAAATTAGCCCGCTACGCAGCACTGTCCGATATCATGAGCTATCCGCTCATGATATCGGACCGCTCATAATGTGTTAATTATTAATGACCTGAAAAGGCGTTGCCTGCAGTTATGTTTCTATGCTTGAAATGCCTTTTATCATCAAGAGAATCAATTTATTTTTCAATTTGGTAAGAACTATACAAGTTTTGAGACCAAGTTTCGGAGAAAAGAACAATTATATAAATGGAAAAAAAATTATATAACTGAAATATAGACCGTTTAAAGAGGTGTATTTTTCTCCTAAATGATATACAGTTTATCCTTGAACTACACTGGTTTAAAGGGCGTAGGACTGTTTTCTTATATGGATTTTTTCTTTAAATATATGGAAAACTACTTTCCATAGTTACTGCAATTTGGAGGGAGGAAAACTATGATACAATTTAAGCAGTTTACAGATATAAAATTTCTTAAAACATTATGCATGCTTTTAACGCGAAACTCTAAATGCTTGTCAACTATAAGTTTTACTATCATGAAATGTGCACAAATCTGACGTAAAAAGCTAAAATTTGCCAAGGAATAAGTTCTCAAGCAAATGCAGATTTCATATGCCGCCAGTGGTAGGGACAAGAATGTAACAAATATAATTCTTAACCGCGTTCTGTTACAGTGAAATTAAGTGCAGTGGATATTTCCTTAAATAAAATGACGTAACACGCTATTCATAGCCATCTATTAAGGTAATTCAAAGTGATATCTGACTCCCAGTAACATATGTATGTAAAACTGAGAAACAATTATTCTGGGCGGTTGAGCAGCAGTTTTACAATTACACACCTTGCCTTTAACCCTTTGAATACTCAAAATGCCCGAGACGTCTTTGCATTTGAACGACCACAACCGTCCGAAACGCCCGAGGTTACAATGTTGTTTTCTTATCTACCCCTAAAGTATGCAATTTCAGCAGCTGCAATTTCCCCAAATGCATTGTATCAATTTATTACAGACAGCTTGTTCTTAAAGGCTAATAGAAGCTTCTTTGCTATGAAGCAGAAAGGATGCCATTTGAAATCTTCACACCTCCTTGTTTGTTAATGGACGGGGAGGAAAGAAACGAACGGGACATGTAATGGACGGGAACGGGCGTTTCGGTGTTTTAAGCATACAGCTTAGCGAAAGCTTCGTTTTTCTAAGGCTTGTAGAATCAGCTGTTTCATCACGAGACAGAAATAGTATAAGTCACGAGAAAACAAGTGAACAGGGATCATTGTAAATCATTGTTAATCTGCCCAAACTGTGAATGCTCTCTTCATGCAAGTTCTAGCATAAGCATAATCGTTCATAGTTGCATAATCGTTCAAAGTTACTTCATTTTAATTATTGTTTAGCTCAATAAAAAATTGCTATTCATTGGTTCTCTAATATTTGTTGTGTTCAGAATAATGCTAGAAACTTTAAAAAATAAAGTTAGTCCTAGATGAATGTTCTATATATGTTGGAATTGCTCCTAAAATGCGTAAAAAAATTATAAAGCAAATGTTCAGTTGCTTGGTATGGGGTATGGAATATCTTAATGTTACATTTTGTCTTGAAATGTACTGTAAATATGAATACAATACTGCACGTTTTAAAATTTTTATTATTAAATTATTGTGTTATTAAATTATTGTTTTAAATTATTGTGTTGCCGTTGTGACTTAGCTCACTTGTCTGACAATAACACAAGAACAAGCCCATGAAACTGATCGTGGCAAGGAGTGCAAGATTGCGCCTGTCGTTGGTATGAGCCTTGAGCACCATGCAGGTGACAATATGACTTTGCTCAGTTTCGCCCCAAATTTTGATGGAGAACACCACCGAGGGACAAACTCGAGGGTTTTCCATCCCTCTTCTCCTACCAGCAACCTCTCGAGAGAAATTCTGTTCGCAGGATATTTAGAGTGCCCCCATTTCACATGGACACTATATATTTACAAACATCCATGCCTTCTCCCGTATTCGAACCCGATCTCTTTTGTTCAGCAGTTAGCATCGTTAACAACTATCCTGGATGGGCAGCGTAACAATTGTGATGATTCTTTAGTGTACAAGCCAGGTTACGTCAAAACGTTTGTATATATTGCATTTAAACTGCTTTTGTAATGCAATCCTACTGAAATTGCTTTATTTATGTGCATTAATCTGTACATGAAGATAAAAATCTGAATTACCTTTATTACAAGAATGCAGTATGAAACGCATATAGTGCACAAAATATGCGTTTATCTATTGGTTATATCATCGGTAAGCTTTCTGATTATAAATATGATATAAATACTCCGTTTTCAGCGAAACAACAATTATAACTGAGATTTGCAACTGCGCATTATGCTGACGCTCTTCAGCGCCACATGATTAAAAAATTAAACATAGTTATCACGTGCTTTACAACAATAAAACAATTTAACCAGCAACATGATGATTGGCATACTAGTGACTTAAGTTGTACCATTCAACTGGAAATTAAAATACAGGAGTTTCTTCATGGTTTTCGAATCTCCAAAATAAAAGTGATTACAAAAATTTGCTGATTTTTTATCATTTTCAAATAAATATCAAGCACTGTTGTTGAGATAGCTTCATCTTATAAGCCATCCTTAAAGTAAATTAATCTCACGTACTTTATTTTTATCGATGAATGCTTTTCCTCCTTAATTTAATACATCTTTAGATCCGAGGTCTTTTTCGCGTAGATTTTTAATGACTTCATGTGCCTTGTATTCATTTTCCTACTGTAACAGAAATACAGAGTAATGCATCATGTTAATAAGCATTCGCTTCTTTTATGACCATTTTGTTATTGTAAGGCGTTGTTCGTAGAAACTTTCCATCTCCTTTAAATCTAAAGTATCTGAGAAATGTTTGTACTTAATTAGAATTTTCTTATTTTGAAGAGGTCATAAAAATGGACGTATTTCCTAATGCACGGCATACCATTAAAACATTGTGGAATTCTCACAGGTGCTGTGCACTGCGGTCCAAGTTCAGTCGTTTCTACGACAGAGCAATATTTTCTTTAGTCTTAGTTTGTGCTATCAAATAGCTTTAGAATGCGTTATTTTGCGGAGAAAGCGCTGTTACTTCTTATTTGTTAGGCAGTTAAATTTTATGATCATTCACTTAGTTTGGTATTGAAGGGCTCTGTGTTCCCAGCATATGCTAATAACATGCAAAGTTAGGGGATATCGAATTCGTCGTAAATCGTATTCCGGTTCTAATAACTGCAGCGCATTCAGCACTCATAAAATGGCGTTAGATTCTTCATTCACTGAAAAGGAGAAAAATGCAATAAAATAATTATATAGATTTGGCTAATGACGAAAATGTCTCATAACATAAATTATACCTTCTTCATAATGTAAATGGTATCTTCTTGATACAAAACCAGAGACTTTGCAAAATTTTCCTTAGTTTTGGCTTTGGTATTTAAATGAATATCTTGCAAGGTATTTACTCAAAATTTACAAAACATAAAGGCGAATCCACGGATTAAAAACAGAAAGACGAATATATACTAACATAAAGCATATTCTCAGACAGTTCGCTACAGTTTAAGTTATTCCTAATGTTATTTTTGAGAAACTATATTTTGTAAAAGAACTGCCACTCTATTAAGTGTCCCTTCAGTGTACTTTGTTGCACTAAAATTGTAGAAGCAAATTAAAACCAAATTACATGCGAATATGGTGCAATGTAAATACCATAAATTTTTGCCAATAAAAACATCATTAAACTACATATTTCTGTCTTTATTTGCCTAGTTATTTTTAGTTAGTTGGCAGTGTTTGTGATTTTCCTAAATTTTGCTGTAGTGTGCTGAATAGTTCGAAGATAATCTTAAAAGGAAGTAGAGATCTTGATTTGTAATCCAGCATTTCATTTTTCAAAGATCGCTATGTGTGGTAAATACCAAATCGTTTTATTTTAATTGTTTGATGAGTGTTTCTGTAAAGAAAACTTAAATTTATGTGTCATCAACGAAGAATATCAAGAAGCTTGTAAGAAATATCCCTTAATGCACATTAGTATATTACTTTATTTAAAAAATATATAAATCAACTTTTTCAAAATTCGAAAACCCCAAATAATCTTTCAAAACTGCTTGACAGGATCTAAATGATATATCTTTCAATATTCTTGACAGGAAACAAGTGATGTGTATTTCAATACTCTTGACAATCCAAATGATCCCTTTTCTAAAATTGCTTGACAAGATCCAAATGATATAGGAACTTGTTCAATGACATCCCTAAATATTAAAAGACAGTTGCCAGGTCTTAAATTTCTGACTTGAAAGACGTATAACTCTTTATACGAATTGGATGTTCTACCAAATCATAGTTCGTTTTCGAAACTTTCTCTACATTCTTTAAAAATCTTAAATCACCCAAAAATTTCGGTTTAAGGAAAATGGTTGTCCCAATTTTTCAGAAACATTAGTTTTATCTAAGCAAGAAACCTGAAAAACGTCAAATGATCTCGTAGGGATCTGAAGACCGAATTTACCGGTTGCTATCCACATGTGCTTCCACCAGCAAGGCACATCTAAGGAAGGAGAAAATATTAACTTTCCTTATTTAAAATATCTTAAGAAAATACCATATCCAGTACCTTATCTTACCTTGCAAAACCATTAAGTTATTTTGAAGCAGGATTATGTAAAAAATTAACAATGCCTTCGCTGGGACTCCACCTTAGACCTCTCGAATACCCGCCGAGTGTGCTACCGTTACGCTATGAAGACATGCAGATAAGAGGGGGAAAAACCTTAAACACTCCCTCTTTTAAAGAGCGATTGGGGATTAGAAGAACTATTCGCCAAATCCTGGTGGTAAAGAATCATCATTCACCACCTTTTAGATCAGGAGCCACTGTAGAGATATTAGTATTTTTAAAACAGGATTATAGAGACATTAGGATTTTTTTTTGGAAGCAGGCAAGATGAAAAATTAGGAACGCCTTCGCAGGGATTCAAACCGCGCACCTCTCAATTACGCGCTGAGCGTGCAGACCCCCTACACCACGAAAGGTCGCTAAGAAGGCGTGGAGAAGTACCTTATATACTCCCCTTTTTAAAGGGCAACTCGGGTTTTTATGAGACCCAGTCGCCAAATCCTGGGAGAGGAGCATCATCATCCAACACCCTTTTAGTTCGGCCGCCACTGTAGAGACATTAGATTTTTTTTGCAAGCAGGCAAGATGAAGAATTAGCAACGCCTTCGCAAGGGATTGAACCTCAGACTTCTCAATCATGCGCTGGGCGTGCAGACAACTACATTACGAAGGTTCGCTAAAAAGGCTCGAAAAAATTTCGTGAAAAATGAGCAATGCTCTCGCCAGGACTCGAACATAGCTCTCTCGAATACTCGCGGAGTCTGATACACTTACACCACAAAGACATGCAGAAAGGAGGAAACCTTATAACCTTCCAGCGTGCCTTCGTGGTGTGGTGATCTGCACACTGGGCCGGTATTCCAAAGGTCCGTGGTTCGATTCCCGGCGAAGGTGGTTGCTCATTTTTCATCTTTCCTGTTTCCAAAATACCTAATGTCTCTACAACCTTACCATTCAAATGTCTGAGAAAATACCTTACCTTGCTCTATTTTAAAAGTTTTTGTAGCAGAAGTTCCATTGAGAAAACCGTATTTAATACAGCTATCTTTTATACAGTCATGTTTCATATTTTAGGAAATAGTCAAAGCAAAAGTTTAGTCATTAAAAGTAAATTTATTTCCGAATGGTAAAAGGAGAGAAAACCTTTATCGTTGCAAGGTGTGGAAATATTGCCCCAACTTCTGAAAATACGTTGCAAGTTGTTTCTTATACGAGAATACTTAAATGATAATATTTTTAATCAAATTATTCCCAATAAATTTTTATCACATTAGTATTTCGAGAATCTGTTTACGATTGATAGCATTGATCTCCTATTTATTTCAATCAAATCCAATTAATATATTAAAATGTTAAATATTTCTGCATATCATATTAAAGTGAAGTTCTGTACGTCTCTGAAAAGAAAACGAACTTATATGTAATTTGTGGGATTATCATTGATCTGAAAGCTGAAGTTAAGTTCTGCAGACTCTACTAGACAAATTAGCAAGTTATCACTGCGTCTCAAATATTATGACAAAGTCACGAGAAGGTTTAAAATATCTTTTTATTTAAGAATTTGAAGGCATATTTTGTAAGCTCCTGTAATTTGCTAATTATGAATTCTAAATCTCGTACTTTAGCATTTTCTGAAAAATGAGGAGATGATTATGATTACTCAGGATCAGATGAGAATTTTAAATCGTATTCTGATGTGAATGAAATAACTTCTAGCCTTCTTACAGAAAGTATTTTTCAGAAAGTATACTCTTCTCCTCCAGCTGCCTGGAGAGATAGATTCATCGTACTCTGTAATGGAAATGATTCCCTTCCCAGCTCCTATGAAAGAGAAACAGAACCTCCCACCCATCTACATCATATGGAAGAAATAAAATACATTTTCGACGAGAATGGCATCAATAGAACCGTAGATAAAATTAAACTTCAATTCCGTGACAGAGACACCAGAGAAATTTAGAAAGTCCTCCATGAAGTCATCCTCTCTTAGGCAGCTATACCTCGAGTGCTTTCAAATAAATTAGACTTCAGAGAAAAAGCTCTAGGTGCCCAGCTGAAAACTCAGTTTCCGTGCAAAGGAACATACTCCTGTTAATATCGTAAACTTGGCTTACCAGTGTAAGAAGACACGGATTTCTTAAGATATGAATTTAACGACAAGGTTGATCCGGTCGTTAAGCTGAAGCAGTTTTCCATAAAGACAATCAGTGGAAAATTCAACCTTCCCGTTTTCTTTGCAGAATTTAAAAGTTGAGGGAAAAGCAGCCAGCTCTATCACGAAAAATCTCGTCTGTCTCTCACTGTCTAAGGTAAGAAGTATAGATCACGGAAGCATACAGAAACCTGTTTCAGATATCAATAACACTTCATACACGTGGA